ATTGTAAACATTTCGACTGGGTCAGGAAGTAATGGGGTAATGTTAGAAAAGCATCAGGATAAATTTGTGTTTGTCTTTTCTTGTGTTTATTGTGAAGTTGGTCTTAAAGTTTTATTTTAAGGGACAAAGAAAAGTCTTAAAAAGTCTTGAATTGAACTTGCCTTATGTTGTAGAAACCCTGTAATTCTCCTAACATTATAACTCTAAATGTTTTTATAATAAAGTATCTCCCCAGCCTGCTGGATCTCTAATGGTTTCTCTGTTTGCGCTGAAACATTTGTTCCAGACGTGCCGTCCTCTCCGAAGGCGTCCTCTCCTCCTGGTCACGCTCAGAGGCCCAACAGTTTCCTGTTCCGTACCTCCTCCAGGAGCACCGTCAAACCCACAGGTAGACCCTTCCACACCTCCCCACCGTCTGTTCCAGCTCTGCAGCCTCGGTCACCTCCTCTTTGCTTCACCTCCTCAGGGACCAGCTTCACTCTGGGCGAGTCCGGCAGGAGTGAATCTCGCACCACGCTGCGTTCGCCGAAAGAGGAGAGACGAGACCTGACGCAATTACGCAAGGTACAAGACAGAAATTTATTATCGGAGAAAAATTTGATTCTCTATTTTCCAGACTATAAATTTTTCCCCACGCTTTGAACCATGCGGCTTATAAGAAGCTGCAGCTTTTCTGCGGATTTTTCCTAACGTTGGCTAATTTTCATTTAGCACGAGAACATGCTAGCAGCAGGTACGACGGAGAACAAATGTCCCGAATTCACACATTTTAACGTTTATTTGCTGCATTAAAGCTGCCGAACCAATGAAGAGACTGAGATCAAATCCTGCAGAGCTGAAATAAAGAGCAAACAAAGCTCCATCATTCAGTAGAAGCTCTAACTGCTGCGAGCTAACAAGCTAACGGGAGCTAGCATTCTTCTTGGTCCCTAATCCAGGAGCTATATGTAGAGCTCCCCCTACAGGTTTGGTTGGAAACAGTTCAGTAGATATCAGCGGTTTATACGTACGTTTCCAGTTTTTTTCAGTGGGCGTGGCTTATAGTGAGGTGCACTCTATATTCTGGAAAATAACAGGGTTCCCGCGGGTCCTTAAAAAGGCTTAAAAGGCATTGGATTCTTCAAAATAAAACTAAGGCCTTAATTGGTATTAAAATGTCTTAAATTAGGGATGCACGATATAATCGGCCCCCTATCGGTATCAGCTTCTGAGTTTCTAAAGTCTAAAAAAAAAAAAAAACTACTTCTTCTTCTTCCTCAAAAACTTCTTTTTTACAGACTTA